CCCCGCCCCGCCCGCGTACATATCGCGCTCGTATTGACTCGCCAATCATTTCGCTGCACAGTCGGTGTGTTTATCGGAAAATATTTGCGCCTCGCGGAGTGTGCGATTCGCTTTGGAGGGGTGGAGAACCAAAAATAAAAATAATGGATGGGAATGAACAGCAGCAGCAGCATTGTGGGCGGACTCGGGCATCCTGCGGGAGCTCATCAACTTGTCAAATTAACGACAGCAAGTCGACTCCAGCGCGACTGCACTGTAGGCTGACGTGACTACGGATTACTGCTTCGCCGCACGCGTATTGGAAACGTTTGACAAAAATTGCTTCGGCAGACCGTGTGTTCGAGAGGGCGCGGCCATAGGCAACGTGTTGTGCTCCTCTCTGGAGGGTCCGTGATATTTTTACCCAGGGTTACAAATGTCCAGGCGTAAATAGCGGGTAAGGGGGATCACTGTAACGAAAAATCTATCTTAATTTGAAGAACACGAGTTTTGAAGCAACTCAAAAAACGAATTTGCTTATCAACATATTTGGGTGAGGGAGGGATAGGCCATGACTTTTGAATTGGGAGAGGGGGGGGGCGAGTCGTTCACAGCATTTGATCGTGTTCGGAAACTCACATCGTGTTTTTCAATGCCATCTTCCCAATCCTTCACCACGTCAGCTGCCAAGCGGGGGCCGAGGCGGGGGCTGTTCGCCTTGTCGTTCGTGCTGGTGGTGCTCACGGTGGTGGTATCGTGCTGGTGGAGCTGGCGGCGCTGCTGTACTTGAGCGCTAGCGCCAGGGCGAGCGGCACCATCAGCGACGAGTTGAGCGACATCTTCATTACCTAGGTCTAGGTACACAGAGGGGTGACTGTTATTCATTTGATGTCAATTTCGTTGATTGAAGGCTAATTCGAAGGGAATTCCCTTCAAAAACACGATTTTCTGCGTGTGGGGCACGTTGTTTCTAAACGACCTCCCCCCCCCCCCCCCCCGTTATTTCTTTTTTTCTGAAAAGCGTGGTGTTCGACAGACGGGGAGGGCGTGCCCTTCCCCTTACGCCCCTGGGGCCCGAGGGAGGGGTGCACATGCTCAAATTTGTCAAACTTTTGCGTCGCCATCCGGCCCCGGGCGCCACGCCACGCCACGGCGGCTCCCTTCCGCCCGCAAGTGGCCCTAACTGCGCCGGCCGGTGTGTAGGGGTTGCGGGGGTTTGGTCCGGGTCCCGTCGCCCCTGAGCCCGGGGGCCCTCTGTCCGGCGCTGTTTGAGCCGTCTCGCGCCTGCCCTGGGGCTCGGCAAAGTTTAGCCGCACCCCCTCGCTCACACCCATCCCCCCTTCACCCCTTCTCTCTCCCTCTCTCACTCATCCAGCGGCAGTCTTCGTGTTTGCCGAGCCCATGCATTGCGCCCCAACCGACCCAGCCGTCCTTTTGACCGCCCCCTAACCGCCTCCTCGACGTCTACAAGCTAGTCAGGCACTATTAAGGGGTCTCCACCTCTCGAAGACACGCTAAAGCAGTACTCTGTGGAACTGTTGCTGCTGCAAACCGGTTGAATTGCAAGTGTTAACCGCGGTTAAACCGTGAGTGTTAACCGGTTGAGCCGGAAGTATGTAAACCGGTTGAACTGTGAGTATTAACCGGCTGAATTGCAAGTATTAACCCGTTTGAGTGTTGCTTTGCAAGTGCTTGCCGGTTGGATACCTTACTGTTCGCCGGTTGAACTGCGAGAGTTGTGTACTGTTAACACGCGTCAGCGTTGTTGCCGAGGTCTGCGCGCACGCCTCGCCTCTGTCTTCGCGAGAATAATTCAGCAGCGCTCGGCCGGGCTTGGCAGCGAGTCTTGGCACCGCGCGGCCTCCTCGCCATATTCATGTAAACGAAACGCCAGCATGTTCCCCCGCGGTCGGTATGAAAGACCGGACTGCAGAAGGCGAGCAGCTGACTCCCATTGACTCTCTCAAGTCCCCCCCCCCTCTCTCTCTCTCTCTCTCTCCCCCTCTCACTCTCCACCACTTTCCGCTTTGTGGTGAAGGCGGGCATGGCGAGGGAGATATTCTTCTCTTTTGATGGGGCTTTGTTTTTGTTTTGTTTTCTTGTTTGTGTTTTTTTTTGTGGAAAAGGGGGGGGGGGGTCAACTATGATTGGACAAGATCAACATACATTATTGGCTCTGGTGTTGAATGTGAATGTACATGCTTTTGGTCTTTTTGTATTTAGCTACTTTTAGGTTATACTCTACGATACGTGTCTTGGTTTTACTATCCTGAGCATGTTTATCTGTCCTTCTTGCGACGGTTTTACTTTCTCTACAATTTCCTGGGCCCACGGCAAGCCCTTTGTAACACCAGGACACTCTTTGTTTCTGTGGTTTCATGAGCGACTTGCAATGACACCCAATTTTCAATCAAATTTACTAGAGAGCATATTCATTAAATTACCAATATATTAAAATGATGTAGTCGTATTTAACCAATTAGTGACTAAACAATCTATAACTTATTTGATAAAACTTCAGTAAACTTTTCTTCTAGAAGTGCCCGTTAAAAATGTGCTCTCTCAGAAACTTGCTTCATGTCTAAGTTCTGTGAAACCACGCACCGTCAAATTTGATGTGTGTTTGAATGCGGCCCCCCTTCCTGCTCTCCCTCACACAGGGACGATCACAGGTCCCAAAGTGAGTTCCAGGTGTCTCGATCTGTTTCAATATTTGTGTGCGAAATTTAAAGCTTCGCACTGGCATGCATTAATGGCATACGTTTATGCTTTTAAAAAGTAACGCAAAAGAATTGTATTTACAGTATAGTTTTCTATTGCGCAACAAGTACTTTCATCATATCGCTATAAACTTTGGATTACACACTAACTGGAAAAAAAAAGTTTACGAAATTTTGGAAGTTGTAACAGCTAGACAGAGGGGAACTAATAAACGAATCGAGTAACTGGAACAAGCTTGTTCAAACGCACGACTGGCTGGCAAGGCTGTGATAGGAGTGTGCACGAAAACCAAAACAATATTATTTCCAGTGCGGACGGCAACTTTGAGGTGACCTTAGCCACCAAAGCAACAATCTACCATGAGGGCCTGGTGGAGTGGAAGCCCCCCGCCATTTACAAGTCGTCTTGTGAAATAGACGTAGAGTATTTCCCTTTTGACGAACAGACGTGCGTTCTCAAGTTCGGTAGTTGGACGTACGATGGCTTTAAGGTGAGTGGAGTTATCTGTAGCGCCTCCCCTGTGCCTGTTAGTCAATGTGCCTCGCTCCAACGCACCCCGGTGTTTTGGATCAAGGCCTTCTAGGCCACGACCCCACGTTCACTGCGGCAAAAATATCAGCGGCATTTATTAACGTAGCGGACACTCGTTCTGTGCCCCATTATTGACACGCCACTCGGTGGAAATAACAGGGAGACTCTGCGAATAACGTCTGCAATCAAAGGTCCTGTGCGCGTGATGTGTTTCCCGCCCCCAACCTGATGGCCATAAACAGACCGCCGTTTGATGGCTCTGAGGGAGGCCACGTACTGTGGGAAACAAACTGCCGAAATGTAGAGAAAAAGAGGCGGAGCCACTCGAGTTGGCTGGGTATTGCACCTTACGCAGCAGCGCCTCCCCCTCTGTGCCCTAAATCCTCCTCACTCGGAGGGATATTTTTCGATGGGATTATTCATGCCATTAAGCTTTTGCCCCTCCACCCCGTAAGCCCCACTTCTGCCGTACAACGCTGACGCTACGCTACACACGCGTGAACACGTTGTTTGTTTCCGAAGCTGAAGGGAAGTGAAATCTTAATAGCCCCGAAAAACTTTCGTCTGCGATTCTTCTGGCACGCCTGCTGCCTCAACTTAGCCTCAGTTGAAAAAGCTTTGGCTTCACTTGGGAGACACCCCATGGGTTAAGCTTCCATTTAGATTTTCGCTTCGAGAACGTTCATGGGAACTGAAACATCTTGTGAACTGGGGCTGCGCATGGCGACGCACCCAACGGGGAAACGCGGGGCGAGTAGGGCAGGGGGCTGCCTTTAGGACGTGCGACGCGCATTACCATACTGCATGCCCTTGGCGGGACTACGAATATCATGGGCCCCAATCTGGCCAACGGTCACCATTGGAGTCTATACAGACCCCATAATATTTGTACCCTCTTCCCTCTGGGCACGTAGTGCGCGCACGGCCCCTCTCTGGTATTGGTGTCGCAGTGAATGTGGCGCGGGTACGACCCAAAGGCCCCGACACAACGCGTCCAACACTCCCGATGAGAGTAGCTTTGGCCCTCTTTCTCACGGCTTTGGTACAGATACGGTCGTTCTTACAAACGGTGAAAACTGTAGTCTCACGTATTCGCTTGAGTAGAGAGTTGGCTTGCAACCGCTGAAGGGTTTTAGGAACGAGATGAAAACGGCGCGGACCAACACCTTTGCCTCGCTTTGAGTTGGGAGCGTGTAGCAGTAGCAGTAGTTCTTCTCTAAGACACGGTTGGTGCCAGTGATCGTCATGAGGCGTGTTTGTGTGTTGTTCTGTTGGCAGCGCGGACGGCAACTACGAGGTGACACTGATGACAAAGGCAACCGTCTACTTCTCTGGGTTGGTGGTGTGGCAACCGCCGGCTGTATACAAATCTTCCTGTGCCATCGATGTCGAGTTCTTTCCCTACGACGTACAGACGTGCGTGTTGAAGTTAGGGAGTTGGACGTATGATGGGTTTAAGGTGATCCTAACCTCGAAGATGCTATACTAACTGGCCATGCAATATTCCCTACCTTTGCACTTCAAGGGCTTTGGATGTGCTTGTCAGTTTATTTTTTTATTCAACGTAGTCCTTTTTGAGATATTGAGGTCTCGGAATGACAGATCACTTAAGAAAGGTACACTTAGATTTTGCATTAACATAACTGACAAGCTTCCAGGACTCTTCAGCCATTTACTTTTATTTTCATTTTTATTTATTGTATAAATGTTCCCGATTTATTTATTTTTTTTTTGTTCCCGTTCAATTTTGTTTTCAATGTGCCATTCTGTTGACACCATTTTTTTAGTTTCTTATGTCGATGTTTCGTACGTGAACACAAACATGCCCGTTTATCTCCTTCCACCAATTTCTGCCCATTTTCACGTTTCTTCTTACATTTTCTCTTTCCTTTTGTTCTATTCTTCCTAATCTCTCTCTACAATCTATCTTTTCTATCAATGGTTTTGTCGTTAGTCCCTCTGCCTCTCTCCCATTCCAAGTTACACCCCTTGAAACATGATATACTAGACACGACACTACGGGCGGCCTTAACAGCATTGCTCTGCTATGTTTAAAAGAAAATGAGGCCTAAAATGAATAAAAAGTATAGATCAAATCGATGAAATTTGGCTTAGTATCGTTCTTATGCCATGGCCGCTTTAACACAATTGCACTCTAACATGACAATCGGAAAACAATGCACTATACGCAACACGTTGCAGTACAAATTTTAAACCCTGGATATAAGGAAAAGGTATAAAATTGGTTCGGACAATTAAAAAAAATGTATCTTTTGATTTTAAGAAATGTGAATTCTTTTTAAAAAAAAAATATTTATACTTCTTACCCCAAGGACGGTCATCTGGAGAACACTTAACAGCAGTAATATAGATAGGTGGCAAATTTCGCATGGTAAAACTATGAACAGGCAATGTCAGAGCATGTCCTAGTTTTGTACATGCATCGTGAACTTGCACTGTCCTTATCTAGAAGGGGGCGTATTGGCGCACTCGGAGAGCCGTCGGACGGTAGGTGGTGAGTCACCGAGGCACGTAGCAGCACAGACCAGTAAAGTACCGTCAGAATGTGTTGTAGTAGAAAGAGGACGTGGTGAGCGCACAAAAAAGAAACAACCGAATTGTGCATGGCGTGAAACTAACATAAATGCTTTTTTGGCTTGTGTAACGCGACTTAATTTCAGTGCAAGCCATACTATTAGGTAGAAAAGCAATGGCTGCAATAAAAGAAAGTAAGAAAAAAAATAAGCAGCGGGATTGAAGCGAGGAGTTAAAGTCACCTCTAGAATCAAACAGTATGCCCGATAGCCGGACAGCTCTCTCGATTTTAATGGGCGTTACTTCAAGAGCAACGACTTGGGCTGCGGTTGCGACAGTAGCGGGGGGGGAAGTCCTTGCGCAATTTTATTTTTTCGAATATGGTATTTCGAGGAAGCGCGGAGCGAAAGTAAACACAACACAGAAACGTGAAATACGTGGTATATACAATTAAGGAGAGCGCAGAGCGAGAGCGCAAGCGCAAGAGCAGCGAGGAGCGCAGCAGAGGGCGTGCAGGACCCTTCGGGCTCGCATTCGGGTACCTTCGGCTTCCCTTTCGGGCCGGAGATCTTCGCCACCGCTGTCAAGGAGGGTCACTACCGCTGTCCGGCGCCGCGCGCTGGGCGGACCTCCGGCCCGAAGGGCAGCCGAAGGTACCCGAATGCGAGCTCGAAGGGTCCCGCTGCTCTTGCGCTCTCGCTCTGCGCTCTCGCTCTGCGCTCTCCTAATTGTATATACCAACGTTCAGGTCTTATCTTTCTTATTTCCGCTCGGTGCTCTTTTGAAATGCCTAATAACGTTTAATCGAGATGTGCATTTATGTTGCTTAGTTTGGTCCAGCCCGCTTGTCTGTCGCGAAAAAGAGTCGTGCATTTTGCCACCAGTAGTCCAACTCTAGGGCACGTTGGTGTAAAAGCTGCGCTTCACTCAGAAGTGGACTAACATACAATCTTTCATACAAGCTCTTGGAATTTTTGTGAGGGACTTCGTCCAAACCACGTGATTTTAGTGTACCTTAACATTATAGGGTCTCCTAAGGATCGGGACGGTCATTGGAGTCCACAGGGATTCCAATATTTTGACCATCGAATACAAGATATCATAGGGATACTAAGAACTCCAATAAACGTCCTCATAATTTCGGGTCTCTACAATATTTAGATCACGTTAATGTCCTGTGGTTTGGGCAAAGCACCTTTGTCTCTATTTCATAAATTTTAGAAAACAGCATATTCCTTACGTGTAACTGAACATCTTTCACAGAGTTACATGCCCCCATAATAGATACGTAAGTGAGGCGTAGAAAATGGCCAGCGTCTTTGTCTATCTGAAACTCCATCCTCTCTATCTCTCTGTCTGTTTCCGATTCTCTGCCAATAACTGTTCTCATTCTCCCACTAGAAGTTCTAATAAGCTTTGACGTTTCCCTATAAGAAATGGACGTTTTATACCTTTTCCCTACCAGAGAGAAGCAAAAGATTACTACGAACAGATTTTGGCCATTTGCTTGAACTCTACATGACACAATACATTGCACCATCCGTAATAATTTCCATTAAATACAAGTGAGAGCTAAATTTTGTGTCAAACGCCCCTTGCGTTTTGCACACCTGGTAACTCAAAATAAGTGGATGAGATCACCGAATGCATCGCTGCATATGCAAAGCCAAAAACAAACCGAAGATAAGCTTAAGACCCAGGGCGCCAACAGGCAGAGTCCTCGAGTGGGAGTGCACAGCAAGTGGCTAAAATGCTACTTTTATTTTCATGCTCATTGTTTCCGGTTGTGTATGGGCTGAACAGTGGGCCGCTCGACCGACTCTGGCTAAGCTTCGGCTCAGTTACCAAGAGCGGGTGCGGTGCGGCCCGCGTTCTGGAGGGTGTAACATCCTGCCCGGACCTCAGTTGCAGTCACCTATATATTGTCAACTGTGAACGGCGCAAAACTTTGCAGTGAAACATCAAATATCGGTGACTGCGGAATAGGGTTAGAGTTGTCAGAAAAAGTGGGTGAAACCTCGCAATAGCACACCCGCGTAAAGCGGGCCGTATCGACGCATGTCTACCAGGCGACCTCACTGCACGTGTGCGCAGATGTCGCTCGATAGGTAAGCGAAGATCTGCGCCAGCTACACGCAGTTGTGCTCCTGCTGGTTAAATATCTAACTTTTTGTCAACACTGGAATAGGACGTTCCCATTGTACTCTCCAGCGGTTGCCAGTGGTCGCCGCCAGCTCAACCTTCGACCTTTAACAGAGGGGATGATAGATTCGTCGCTCTGGCGAGGCCTGCGTCACTTACTGTACGCCATCACTCCCGGACTCTAGGATACGTCAAACGCCTGCCGTTGCGGAAGGAGCAGACCTATGAGCCGAAAGTGAAAAGTGGCATCCCGAGATAAAATTATCATCACAGTTTGGCCGCCTGACCGCGAAGTTCCAAAGCGCGCTAACTGTTTCTGACTTCTCCTTGTGTTGGCAGACTTTTGGAGTACCCTGTTAACTTTGGTTGGCTATATTTTCCCGACTTCGTTTTCACAAAATGATTATGAAACTAATAAGAATTTTTTTCAAAATGACCTAGATTATGGGGATGTTTTTTTTAACACAGACAATTTCTATTTGAAAAAAAGCCCCGTTTGCTTCTCTGTCGACTTGAGTTCATACTACTTCGGTCCGCATAGTTATTCTCAGTTCACACTGCCACAGAGTTGAGAGCGGTGTAGTTTTTGTGCGTATGATTTAACGTGGATGCGCGAGACCACACGGTGGTCATGCCGCGCTCAATGTGTCCAGGAGTGGAGAGTCGCGAGCGGCGTCTGGGCGGATGAATGTGAGATTTCTCATAGTAACAAGGTGGGCGAGCTGGCGTGTCTTAGGGCAGGTAGTGTGAGGCAGAGAGAGCCGTCGCAGACGAGGCGAATACGAGAGTTGTTGGCTCCGTCCGGACGTGTTTGTTCGCTCGCGTTTCTCCCCCCTTTACGACTTTAACTGGCGGCAGTGATAGTTCCAATACAAAATAGGTTTCATCTCATAAGCATTTAAAAAAAAGTACATCGTTGTGACTTGGTTCGGAGGCACCTTTATGAGAAAAAATAATTACTAGTATCTCTTCTGCTCCTAGGGACCTTAGTAGTATGTACGTGTATCATGATGTCTCGAATTTTAAAAAATCTGCTAATAATCAACTGCACAAAATACTACTGAGAGCGCCCTGTATATAACATTTTTTCGAAAAAAAATTCTCAAGCCAAAGTGCCGTAAACATAGCGTCAATAACTTTGTAACTTTTAAAAATAAAAATATTTAAACCATATCAGAGCGATTCCTTCCCTACACGACACATTCGCTTAAACCCTCACATTGCTGTAGAGAGAGAGAGAGAGATCCCCAAGTGAAGCGATCGGGACCCGCTACATTTCTTGCATATTTGTTGTGTTTTCGTATGCATCTTTCTTTTGATTTTGAAACATTAGATTTCCGCATGACTCGCTGCTTCTGTAGTATTTTGTTCGTTTTGTGTGACGCAACCATTTTTGAAAGTAGTAAATAGTGAGTAAGTTTTTTTTCGTATTCCAAAGAGAATACGTTTTTATCCAGTTTTTGAAACTAGATTTTTCATACATGGAAAAGACAATTTTTAAATGGCCAATTTTTAAGGCCGTTTTGTAGCGCACAATCGTAACATTCAACTCTGCACTTTTGGTGATGCCAGAAATCTTTTGGATGTTTAGTTCCTTGATATTTATGTGCATTTTGTACCGGTATAGAGAGATCTTTTTGTGGAAAGTATTTTTACCACTCTGGTTCATATTGATTTTTGGAACCAGATTTGTTAATTTTGTATTTTTGTTTTGTTTAAAAGTAAAATGAACTATTTCGTGCCTCAAATATTCGTGATTTTTGAAGTAATTGCTGATTGTTTTTTTAAATGATTGTCACAAAGGTGATGAGTTTTGTTCCCTACGTAGCCACTTCCATTTTTTACGAAACGACAACCCGCCCCGTGTATTTTGTATCAGTTTTCAACCAATAAAATTAAACATTATTTTGTTCTGACTAAAATGGAAATAGTTCGTTTTACCCTAACTGAACCTGGTGCTTCTCCATATGAGCAACCTCTGTCGGTGTATTTCTATTGCAGCTCATCCATTATCGATAATGTTAAACGTGTACTACTCTTTGCAAAATCCACTTTTCTCACAGTTTGCACCGTGCACTGACCCGACTGTGTTGAAATGTAAGCGGGCGCGTCACCAGAACTACTTCCCGTCTGGGCAATACCTCCGTTGAGCAGGTCCCCGTCTGGGCAATACCGCTGTCGAGCAGGTCCCAGGATGACGGATCTCGGCCGGTTGTCTGAACACACCTCACTTTGCAGTAAACAGTTATTTCTCACCCACCTTAAACCACCATCCTGTACGTAAATGCTAGGCATGCAAGGGGACTTTCTCAGGAACTATAATCGTTTGGTCTCTTTCTTCTTGTTCTGCCTCCTCACACTAATTTGTAAGGCTTTATTTACCGTACATCGCATGTGTTCTCGATTAAAAGTTACTGGTGTGCGAGCACATGGATTCATAGATTCTTTGTCATCTAGTAGTTTATTTCCCGTGCAGTCAAAGAGGTTTTCCCGGCAAATATTTATTATTTACTATGAATATCATTAAAATCGGAACACCATTTTGTGCTTCAGGATAAGAAAATACTGGACTTTTCGAACTCCATACAACCCTATTTAAATTTCATAAAACCCTTTTCTCATTTGTCCTATTTCCAATTTTATGTTGCGTTAGATTCTTAAAATTATAGAATCCATGAAAACAATTTGGTGCATTGAGAATGAGTCCCGCATAAGGATCAACAACTGTAGGCATTGTCAGGAAATCTCAACCCAAAATATTTTGCAATCGGCACTTATACTAAGTCATGTGTATACCATTCGTGATTAAATCCACCTTTTTGGGTTCATTTCATAACGCAGTACCCACATCCTTTCGGCCACACAACAGACAGAAACACCATGCGACAATACGCTTAGGTTACCTCTCCGATATCGACAGTACGCAATGACTGCAACGACTCCGATTTGGCAAAACCTTATACGCCTTTCCCGCCACTTCCTCACTCATTTTACAACAGAAATAAGTCTAATTTGTTTTTTTTATTTTTATCAAGAGCCACCTCCGTCCTTACGCATCCCGGCCATTTCAACAGGTTTTTCGAGGACCACCAGAAAACCGCACGTACGTCTAGAAACTTCAAGAAAAATTCTTTTTTCATGAATCATTTTAATTTTAGCCAGTTTTGGCACTAGTCTTCAATCTAAATAGTATTCAAACAACCTATCAACCCATCAACCGAACGCGATGGCACGCTTTTCACTTGTTCCAGGACCGATGCCGAATTCAGCAGCGTGTCACCAATATGTTTATTAGGTCTTTCATGGATTTTTGTCCCGTTTCTGCTGTAATATTCGCTGTCTCGAGTCGGGGCAAAGGAAAATGCAGTTTACAAAGTTTTAGTAGACGTATGTGATGTATGAACTTTTTTAGGGTACTACTCTTCTTTCCCTGCAAAGCTGGACATGCGGATGACCGACGCTCGAATCAGCGTTAGTGACTGTTTTACTGACCTCTGTATTTTATATATTTGCGCATAATGCCGCTTTTACCTGTAAACAACGGATTCTACCAGAGTCGTAAATAAAATTTCATTATGGAGCCTTGTAGATTTTGTTGGCTGTGGCCAATAAATTAACCTAAACATCTTATGCCTGTGTACGTGATAAATATAATAGGTTTTGTGATGTTTACAGTTGCCGCACCGGCAGTTATCTTCGGGTCGGTTCAAACCAGAGAAGACATTCTACGAACAATTTTTATATGAGCAACTTTTGACTTCCATGATAGAGGGAACGAATGGATATTAAACACCATCTTGGCTGGATATTTTTTTAAACAGCATTCCAATATGATGGATTATAGAAGTCACACAAATTTTCTGTGTCATATTTTAATAATAATAAATGTCCATGATCATGATCTGTTCGTTCTTCTAGTTTGGGTCCCACTCTCTCAGTATGCTGCTGTATGTCCCGCTTTGTAGATAATTAGTAAAAAGTTTCCCGGCACAATTTTTACCAATTAGAATTTTTAAGTAACACGCGATAAATAACGCTGCAACCTGAAATTTTTGGTCATTTTTTTGTGCCAAGGGTCACTGCTGCACTATTTATGTAGGAAATCGTTAGTCCGAAACAACGGGAAATGTGTCAAATCAGATTTTTGAAGACACGCATTTCAAAATAGAAGAGCAATTTTTTTTAAAAAAAGAACTGTCTTGTCCAATCAAAAATACAACAAATCAAATAAATGTCATATAATTTTCTTTAAAACTGCTTCAGGAAACGATCCTTAGTTTCGGTCTAACTTTTGCTTTTGTGTAGGGGAGGGTGGATCAACCCAATCATGGCGTAGTCAATGGTAAAGGCTCGCTTAAAGGGACTGTATATGGTATGTACTAACATCTGGATCGGTGCTGTCGCAGGTGGACCTGAGGCATATGGATGAAAAGACTGGCTCAAATGTTGTGGACGTTGGCGTCGACCTATCCGAATTTTATATGTCAGTCGAATGGGATATTTTGGAAGTCCCCGCCGTAAGGTAAACGACCGTCGCAGATGCCACGCACTCCTGGCTCACCCTCCGCGCCGCCCTAAACGATGCTCTTCTTTCTTTCCTCCGCAGAAACGAAAAGTTTTACACTTGTTGTGATGAACCATACTTAGATATAACTTTCAATATTACGATGAGGCGGAAGACGCTGTTCTACACGGTCAACATCATCATCCCGTGCATGGGCATCTCCTTCCTCACCGTGCTCACGTTCTACCTCCCGTCGGACAGCGGGGAGAAGGTGAGTCTTTTATCTCCGGCTGAACCGGGCCGCCTTGGGACCAATTACAAATGAGAATTACAGCGGCCCTCTCGCACCGACTCCTTTATAGGCGCCAGGGTTCAAGTATACCTTCTATATTGCGGTTGCTTCCCCCCTACCTCCGCCCACCCTCCCTTCTTTCTGGCCCTCTCTTTCCTCATTCTCTTCGTGATTTCCCCCACGGTGAAGCACTTGCGCGCCAGCTTGAATACAGCACGTGGGGCACTCATCGAGGGTTATTTTGGATGTGAGGGGTGAAATATATTTGGTAGACGGAGACGCTATTTTTTCGTAGGGGAAAAACACAGTTACCTCAATAAACCAAATCTCGAATTTTGGACCCAGCCGACTGTTGGTAAATCTACCACTAAGATTTAAGATGCAACTCCATTACTGTATACACGCACATTACTATGTACTAGCTTCTTGGTTAGGGTGGCTGGATAGAACCCTGGGAGCCCAGAGTAGCTAACCGATCGTACACGGTGCGCGACTAGGAGGGGTGGTGGGGCCGGGCTGGTCCGAGGGAAAAGTTTTGCAGCGATCATCCTGCATGGCTGGGCCCGCCGGCCTGGCTACAGGGCCAGGGTGTCGAGGTGGGGTGGGAGATGTGCCGCGGAGAACTCGGTCAAGGTTTAGCTGGGCGGGGTGTGGCGCGGCGGGGCTGGCAGCAATGGGGCACGGGGTCCCCGGGGGCAAGGCGTTACGCACGGAGTCATGCAGAGATAGAGGGGCCAGTGTTTCCACCCACCTGCATCCATTTCGGTAAAAAGAGATAGGGGGCGGGGCGCACTCTCTCTCTCTCTCTCTCCGGGGGGATTCTGGATTCAGATAGAAAGGAAGGGGGGGTGTGGAAGCCCTCGAAGGTTTCCGAAAAAATTTCTGGAAAAAATGGAATATTTAAAAAAAATTACGGAAAATTTTCCAGATCCCGGGTGTTTTCCGTTATTCTGGAAATTTTCGGGAATTTTCGGAAATTTACAATCCAAGAGGTGCGGCTGGTGGGATGGCCAGCAGCCGAGGCCCACTCGAGGGCCTCGATGGCCTCGTTAGCGCCCCCCGCGTCCGCGAGGCCCTGGACCCGCTCAGTGCAAGCGATAAGAGATAATTACCTGCAAAGGGCAGCTGGGCCAGGGATTCCACTTCCGCTCTCTCTCGCTCTCTCTCTCCCTCCCTCTCCCCCCACCCCACTATCCGAAACCCAATGCCCGCTACTAACAATCCTTGGGGATATTACAACAGTTTTCCGGTTCCGGGTGCTTCGGATTTGCACCCCCTTCCTTTGGGCGGCAACTCTCATTGACAGCCTTACTTAATTGCCTTGATTTTCACAAACCTCCCCTTTTTTAAAAAAATAAATAAAAATAATCTTTTTGTTTTGTTTCAGGTGACATTATCAATTTCAATTCTTATCTCACTCCACGTGTTCTTCCTCCTGGTTGTTGAGATCATTCCCCCGACTTCCCTGGTCGTACCATTACTAGGAAAATACCTCATTTTTGCTATGATCTTAGTATCAATAAGGTAAGCATGGTCAATCGGTTCAATCGGTTAAGTTATTGTTCGAATACTATTTCACTTACCGACCCTACCGTGTACTTTTCCCTCCCCACAGTATATGCGTGACCGTGGTGGTCCTCAACGTCCACTTCCGGTCACCGCAGACGCACAAAATGGCCCCCTGGGTCAAAAGGGTGTTCATCCACATCCTGCCTCGGCTGCTGGTGATGCGCAGGCCGCAGTACCAGTTCGAGGCAAACCGGTGGTGAGTGATTCACGACCGGAAAAGGCAAACCGGGCGTTTTTTTTTTTTTTGTTTTTCTTAATTTGAACTGCAAGTTAACACATCTTTCGTTGCGCAGGTTCACGCCGGCCACGGTGATGCTGAGGTCGTTGCAGGACGACGACTCCTGCTACGGCCCGTTCCAGGCGGCACCCTGCCCGGACGAGATGCAGAGGATGCACGGCGCGCAGGCGCACCAGGCCCACCAGGGCACCAAGAGGGCGACGGTCCTCGCCGGCCTCGAGGGCCACGAGTCGTCGTCGGACACGTCGCATCCGAGGACGCCGTCCAAGGAGGACCTCTCCCCACTCAGGTGAGGCGCCGTCGTATTGCGTTGTATGGCAGGGGATCAGGATCACGTACCCTACGGAAAAGGGAGGGTACGAATATCATGCCTCAAGGACCACTGTGACCCGTTTTTTGACACCACACTTGATATTTGTACCTCTCGAGTGCAAATATCACTCCCCCCCTCTATGAAAAGTTCCGGATTGCCGTAGGTAATATGTATCGGAACCCCTATGTTATTTATACCTTTGGGGTTAAAGTAAAAGTATTCTGTGTTCCCTGTGATGTTCATACCCCCGTGGGACACGTAGTATGTGCCCGGCCCCGTCGCAGGGCTGACGGCCACGATGGTCAGCGGCGCTGTCTGCTCGCACTCCCTTTTTCACAGGCCGGAGGTCTCCTCCCGGAGTTCCCACCCGGAGGGTTTGTTTGACGTCCCAGATGGCGACGGCGCGCTGCCTGCCGGCCTTTCGCATGAATATTCAGGTCCGGCGCGCCCCGCCTCGCGCGACGCGTCTCTCCCGTCCTTCTTCAGGCGGAGGATTCCCACGGATCTCTTTAGTGGAGCAGCAGCCCGCGCCGCGCCACGCCCGGCCACCGCAGTCGATATCTCATGCATTTGTCCCGAGGCAAGAAAAGGAGGGGAGGGGGGGGGGAGAATCCAGGACAAGAGTGATAGGGCGGCTGTCCCTGATGGGTCCGCAAGAGGACCTCGGCGACCTGGCGCGCGTGCACAGCAATGCGAGCTGGAATAGTTTGGACTGGACCTTAAAGGTGGATTCAGAGTTCCCTAAAGGCGAGCGTGATTCTCACGCAAAGCGTGATTTTCACGCCCGGCATGATGAGAGTCGATCCCTGATTGGCTGCGTGAAGCTTACGAAGCGTGAAAATCACGCCTGGCGTGAAAATAACGCTTGCGTTTCGTGAACTCTGAATCCACAACGGAGGCGTTTTAGTGCTTTCACAAAGAACGCCTATGTCCATTTCGTAGTTCAGCACGAGACCGTGTGTCTTCGTAGACGTAAATATAGAGGTACAAGGTCGCAACCAAGTGCCTTGAACGCGCTTTGAAAGACTCGTTTAACAGTAAAAATTTATTTTCCCTGAAGTTTAGTCAACATTATCTTCAGTTTAGGCTCTTTATTGACAATAATGTTTAAAAGTATAAAGTATTAAAGAGTAAAGATTGGAATGATGGTTCCTCGTATCTGAACCCTGAGTGGGGCAACTCTGCTGGGAGTTTAGGCGCGGGTCGCCCTGCCTCCGGGTCGCCCCGTCCGGCGCGGCATCCGGACACGCCGTCGCAAGCAGAAATAACGTACACAAGGGGAAACTAAATTGTTGGTGCGAGAAAAGTTGCGAAACCGCACAGCAGAGGGTGTCCAGGACGATGTCCCCTCGGCGCCGTGCCTCGGTCGCGCGGCCCCCGCCCCCGCGTCGTCCTTGGCAGCATCCTGGGGGGGGGGGAGTAGAGAAGAACACCCAGTCCGAGGTCGAAATACGCGACAGAAGTTGCGCAAACTTTCGCCAATACTTTGATAGCAAATGAGGTTGGTCGCGGGCCCTGCGCTGCCCCATCACATTGTATACCTGCTTCAGCTACAACGGCGTCGTCTAGCCTCTACCCCGAGGGGTACAGGATACTTCAATAAAATAAATTAAGGCGTAAAGACTGATGACCTAAGTGTGCAACTGCAAGTTGAATTCTTGTAAGTGCCCAACTTGGAAGCTGGGCACTCTCAAATGTGTAACTCCCCCGTTGAACACTTCCTTAGGCTCCTCTCTTTCTGCCCCGCAGCCTCCTGGACGGCGGCCCCTTCGGCGGCTCGTGCCTCATCCACGGCCCGGGGGCGATCCGGGACCCGCCCGACGAGGAGATGCGCGAGACGCTCTCGGACCGCGAGGACACGACGGGCTGCTGCTCGGCCGTGCGGACGTGCGGGGGCGGCACCCGGCCGTCCTCGCCGCCCGGCGGCCGCGGCGCCGCCCCCGGCCAGATCCTGGTGCCGCTGCCGCCCCAGGGCCACCGCTTCTCTCACGCGCACTGCCCCCCGCAGGTGCACCGGTCGTGCTTCTGCGTCCGGTTCATCGCCGAGCACACCAAGATGCTCGAGGACTCGACCAAGGTGAGTTATTTCGCACGTAGGGATTGTCCCAAAGGAAGGGAACGAAAAGAAAATTAAATATTTTCAGAAGATTAGGAAGTATAATGTAACTTTTGGGGGGGAAATTGAGACATTTTGAGAAAAATTCTTGGAAACTTTTCTGAAATCCTTTATTGGAAAATTAAAATCCCAAAATTTTACTAGGAAGAACATGAATAAAATTGAAATATTTTCAGAAAGATTGGACAATGATTTAACATTTTAGGAAAAACAATGAGACATTTTGAAAAAATTCTTGAAAACCTTTTCTAGAATACTTTTTTCAAAACTTAAAATCTCTTATTTCGCACACACGCTCTCTCTCTCTCTTTTTCTGTCCGCCGCGGGGCGGGTAAATTGTTTTTCTACAAGTTTAATTTGTTTTATCTGGCTCCGGCGCTAGTGCGGCGGGGGTCTAAGCCAGCTTGGGGGGCCCCCCCTCATCCCCTCGCAGGGAGCGCCAGGGGCCGCTAGGCGTGCCACGCTTTTGTCCTACAAATTTCCATTTGACTTTGCCTCTCCCTTCCCTCCTCTCCCCTCCTCCCCCTTTTCCTTTTCCTGGATGCGCTCGGCCTCTAACTCTCTCTCTCCTCCGCCCTATATCCACAGTGCTACGCCTACACAACAGCTCAGACCCCACCACCACCCTCTCATTGCTCATTCCTCCTGTACCTTCCTATATCAACCGCTGGTACAACTGCGGGCTGAGAGTTGGATTCACGCATCAGAGACTCGACTGGAGCTGGGGCAGCCGGGCTCTCCCGGGAGAGACCGCGCGCCTGGACCGTATGGAACTTTGTGTGGAGCCCACTCGGTAAATGGAGAGGACAGTAATTTAAAAGAAGACCAACTTTTGGCAAGTTAAGAGGCTAAAAATGTGCCGCCCCCAAAAGACGACCAAAATTTGGAACTCAAAAAGGACTGCCAACATTTTGGCAAGTTAGGCGACCACGGCGTTTAGAGTGGAGACTGTGTACAACGAAGTCACAATGGCGGAGCCGGAAACACTGACCTCGGATGCTGCTCTCTTGTGGTCTCCTGCTATCTGCCCCCCCCCTCTTTTTCTCCCTCTCTCTCCCGAACCACCACCGCCTTTGAACTAGTTCTACTGCTGAACACAAGTTGGGCTTTTGTGTTTGTGCTGCATTCTGCAACCTCTTTTCAAGACAGCCAAAATTCTTTAAATAAAAGAAAAAAGAATTAAAATGGCGCTTTGTCGCATGTTTCACAGGTCAAGGAGGACTGGAAGTACGTGGCCATGGTGCTGGACAGGCTCTTCCTGTGGATCTTCACGCTGGCGGTGCTCGTGGGCACGGCGGGGATCATCCTCCAGGCGCCGTCCCTCTACGACGACCGGATGCCCATCGACAAGCGCTTCGCCGACGTGGTGCGGAACGCGACGCCCGTCAGATGCCCGCCGCCAAACTAGCCTTGTTGTTGCATACACACACACTCAGAAAAAGTGTTGTTGTTGTTGTTTGTTGTTGTTGATGATAATGATTCTTTTGACGCGAAAATTTTTCCCGCGCAGCGTTGAAAGCCATGAACACTGCCAAAGATAATAAGCAGAGCACTGACAGACACACTCAGCTATTGTTTTTATGTGTTGTTGTTTTTTAAGAAAAGTATTTCTCATAGTGAGCTTAAATACTGCCGAGTCGACTTATCGTTTTTTCTACAAAAGGCAGAGATTTCATTTCAAACAAAAGAGAAACTTTTAAATCTACGGCGTAGGTGTTATATTTCATGACCAGATGCGCGAGGCACTCCCCCCCTCCCCCTCCCCCTCGGGGGCGCGGCGCAGAGCCCATTGCTCACGCAGCCCCACGGGGGGCGCACACCCCCTCTGCTGCCGCTACCCCCCGGGGGCACCCCC